TGTTCAGAAACTGTTCAGAAACTGTTCATAAACTGCGAATAAACTATGAATAAAACTATTAATAAACTGTTCATAAACTGTTCATAAACTGTTCATTAACTGTTCATAAAATGTTCATAAACTGTTCAAAAACTGTTCATTAACTGTTCATAAAATGTTCGTAAACTGTTCAAAAACTGTTCATAAACTGTTCAAAAACTGTTCATAAACTGTTCATAAACTGTTCATAAACTGTTCATAAACTGTGAATAAACCGTGGATAAACTGTTCATAAACTGTGCATAAACTGTGAATAAACTGTTCATAAACTGTGAAATAAACTGTTCATAAACTGTTCAAAAACTGTGGATTAACTGCTTATAAACTGTGAATAAACTGTTCGTAAACTGTGAATAAACCGTGGATAAACTCTTCATAAACTGTGAATAAACCGTGGATAAACTGTTCATAAACTGTGAATAAACCGCGGATAAACTGTTCATAAACTGTGAATAAACCGTGGATAAACTGTTCATAGACTGTGCATAAACTGTGAATATCTGTGAATAAAACTGTGGATAAACTGTTCATAAACTGTGAATAAATTGGTCATAAAATGTTCATAAACTGTTCATAAACTGTGAATAAACTGTGAATAAACTGTTCATAAACTGTGAATAGACTGTGAATAAACTGTGAATAAACTGTTCATAAACTGTGAATAAACTGTGAATAACCGGTGAATAAACTGTGGATTAACCGCATATAAACTGTGCATAAACTGTGAATAAACCTTTCATAAACTGTGAATAAACCGTGGATAAACTGTTCATAAACTGTGAATAAACCGTGGATAAACTGTTCATAAACTGTGAATAAACCGTGGATAAACTGTTCATAAACTGTGAATAAACCGTGGATAAACTGTTCATAAACTGTGCATAAACTGTGCATAAACTGTTCATAAACTGTGGATAAACTGTGAATAAAATGTTCATAAACTGTTCAAAAACTGTTCATAAACTGTTCAAAAACTGTTCATAAACTGTTCATAAACCGTTCATGAACTGTGAATAAACTGTTCATAAACTGTTCATAAACTGTGAATAAACTGTGAATAAACTGTGAAAAAACTGTTCATAGACTGTGCATAAACTGTTCATAAACTGTTCATAAACTGTTTGTAAACTGTTTATAAACTGTGAATAAACTGTTCATAAACTGTTTATAAACTGTGAATAAACTGTTCATTAACGGTTCATAAACTGTGAATAGACTGTGAATAAACTGTGAATAAACTGTTCATAAACTGTGAATAACCTGTTAATAAACTGTTCATAAACTGTGAATAACCGGTGAATAAACTGTGGATTAACTGTTCATAAACTAATCATAAACTAATCATAAACTGTTCATAAACTGTGCATAAATTGTGCATAAACTGTGCATAAAGTCTTAATAAACTGTGCATAAACTGTTCGTAAACTGTGCATAAACTGTGCATAAACTGTGCATAAACTGTGCATAAACTGTTCATAAACTGTGAATAAACTGTGCATAAACTGTGCATAAACTGTGCATAAACTGTGCATAAACTGTGCATAAACTGTGCATAAACTGTGCATAAACTGTGCATAAACTGTGCATAAACTGTTCATAAACTGTTCATAAACTGTGCATAAACTGTGCATAAACTGTTCATAAACTGTTCATAAACTGTGCATAAACTGTGCATAAATTCTTCATAAACTGTGCATAAACTGTTGCATAAACTGTGCATAAACTGTGCATAAACTGTGCATAAACTGTGCATAAACTCTTAATATACCGTGCATAAACTGTGCATAAACTCTTAATAAACTGTGCATAAACTGTTCGTAAACTGTTCATAAACTGTGCATAAACTGTTCATAAACTGTGCATAAACTGTTCATAAACTGTTAATAAACTGTGCATAAACTGTGCATAAGCTTTTAATAAACTGTCCTAAAACTGTGCATAAATTCTTCATAAACTGTGCATAAACTGTTCGTAAACTGTTCATAAACCCTTCATAAACTGTGCATAAACTGTTCGTAAACTGTTCATAAACTGTGAATAAACTGTTCATAAACTGTGCATAAACTGTTCATAAACTGTGCATAAATTGTGCATAAACTGTTCACAAACTGTTCATAAACTGTGCATACACTTTGCATAAACTGTTCATAAACTGTGCATAAACTGTGCATAAACTGTGCATAAACTGTTCATAAACTGTGCATAAACTGTTCATAAACTGTGCATAAACTGTGCATAAACTGTGCATAAACTGTGCATAAACTGTTCATAAACTGTTCATAAACTGTTCATAAACTGTGCATAAACTGTGCATAAACTCTTAATATACCGTGCATAAACTGTGCATAAACTCTTCATAAACTGTGCATAAACTGTTCGTAAACTGTTCATAAACTGTGAATAAACTGTTCATAAACTGTGCATAAACTGTTCATAAACTGTGCATAAACTGTGTATAAACTGTTCACAAACTGTGCATAAACTGTGCATAAACTGTGCATAAACTGTTCATAAACTGTTCATAAACTGTGCATAAACTGTTCATAAACTGTTCATAAACTGTGCATAAACTGTTCATAAACTGTGCATAAAGGTAAACTGTTCATAAACTGTTCATAAACTGTACATAAACTGTTCATAAACTGTGCATAAACTGTGCATAAACTGTGCATAAACTGTGCATAAACTGTTCGTAAACTGTTCATAAACTGTGCATAAACTGTTCATAAACTGTTCATAAACTGTTCATAAACTGTTCATAAACTGTTTATAAACTGTTCATAAACTGTGCATAAACTGTTCATAAACTGTTCATAAACTGTTCATAAACTGTTCATAAACTCTGCATAAACTGTGCATAAACTGTGCATAAACTGTGCATAAACTGTGCATAAACTGTGCAAAAACTGTGCATAAACTGTGCATAAACTGTGCATTAACTGTTCATAAAACTGTGCATAAACTGTGCATAAACTGTGCATAAACTGTGCATAAACTGTGCATAAACTGTTCATAAACTGTGCATAAACTGTGCATAAACTGTGCATAAACTGTGCATAAACTGATCATAAACTGTGCATAAATTGTGCATAAGCTGTTCATAAACTGTGCATAAACTGTTCATAAACTGTGCATAAACTGTGCATAAACTGTGCATAAACTGTTCGTAAACTGTTCATAAACTGTTCATAAACTGTTCATAAACTGTGCATAAACTGTGCATAAACTCATAATAAACTGTGCATAAACTGTGCATAAAGTCTTAATAAACTGTGCATAAACTGTTCGTAAACTGTGAATAAACTGTGAATAAATTGTGAATAAACTGTTCATAAACTGTGAATAAACTGTGAATAAACTGTTCATAAACTGTGAATAAACTGTTCATAAACTGTGAATAAACTGTGCATAAACTGTGAATAAACTGTTCATAAACTGTGAATAAACTGTGAATAAACTGTGAATAAACTGTGAATAAACTGTTCATAAACTGTGAATAAACTGTTCATAAACTGTTCATAAACTGTTCATAAACTGTGAATAAACTGTTCATAAACTGTTCATAAACTGTTCATAAACTGTGCATAAACTGTGCATAAACTGTGCATAAACTGTGCATAAACTGTGCATAAACTCTTAATAAACTGTGCATAAACTGTTCGTAAACTGTTCATAAACTGTGAATAAACTGTTCATAAACTGTTCATTAACTGTGAATAAACTGTTCATAAACTGTTCATAAACTGTGCATAAACTGTTCATAAACTGTTCATAAACTGTGCATAAACTGTTCATAAACTGTTCATAAACTGTGCATAAACTGTGAATAAACTGTTCATAAACTGTTCATAAACTGTGAATAAACTGTTCATAAACTGTGAATAAACTGTGAATAAACTGTGCATAAACTGTTCATAAACTGTGAATAAACTGTGAATAAACTGTTCATAAACTGTTCATAAACTGTTCATAAACTGTGAATAAACTGTTCATAAACTGTGCATAAACTGTTCATAAACTGTTCATAAACTGTGAATAAACTGTGAATAAACTGTGAATAAACTGTGAATAAACTGTGAATAAACTGTTCATAAACTGTGAATAAACTGTGCATAAACTGTGAATAAACTGTTCATAAACTGTTCATAAACTGTTCATAAACTGTGCATAAACTGTGAATAAACTGTGAATAAACTGTTCATAAACTGTTCATAAACTGTTCATAAACTGTTCATAAACTGTTCATAAACTGTTCATAAACTGTGCATAAACTGTGAATAAACTGTGAATAAACTGTTCATAAACTGTGAATAAACTGTGAATAAACTATGAATAAACTGTGCATAAACTGTTCATAAACTGTGAATAAACTGTTCATAAACTGTTCATAAACTGTTCATAAACTGTTCATAAACTGTTCATAAACTGTGAATAAACTGTGAATAAACTGTGAATAAACTGTGAATAAACTGTGAATAAACTGTTCATAAACTGTTCATAAACTGTGCATAAACTGTTCATAAACTGTGCATAAACTGTTCATAAACTGTGCATAAACTGTGCATAAACTCTTAATAAACTGTGCATAAACTGCGCATAAACTGTTCATAAACTGTTCATAAACTGTTCATAAACTGTGAATAAACTGTGAATAAACTGTTCATAAACTGTGAATAAACTGTGAATAAACTGTTCATAAACTGTGAATAAACTGTTCATAAACTGTGCATATACTGTTCATAAACTGTTCATAAACTGTGAATAAACTGTTCATAAACTGTTCATAAACTGGTCATAAACTGTTCATAAACTGTTCATAAACTGTTCATAAACTGTTCATAAACTGTTCATAAACTGTTCATAGACTGTTCATAAACTGTTCATAAACTGTTCATAAACTGTTCATAAACTGTTAATACTAAAAATAGTCCTGTCAATCTGTGGTCCATTCGGCCAGGCACCACTGCACTTCTCAGCCGCAAGGCCCTCAGCAAGAGATCACCGTACTCGTTGCCGTACCTAGGCGATGCTTCAGGGACATGGAAAGAATATGAACCATTTATGAACATCGAAAAATGAAGGGAATATAACGGAAAGGCGATATTTTTCTGGTATAGCGATGGGATGAGAATTAATCATCATTTAGTATTCGATCATTTGTTTTCATGGAATGGATTCTTTTGGGTATGATCGGGCATCTAACTCATCATTGTTTGATTGAGCAATGCCTTTTACATTGGTATGGTCTCACTATACTGCTTCGTTTGCATGGTTTCCCACAATGGGTCAGAGTTTTGTTCCTTGGTGATCTGGGGCAGCATCCTTGCCATTTCCTGCATTCTCAAGCTAAATATGTCATGTGCTGTATTTTCAAGCTAAAATCCTTCATTTGCACGTTATTTGCAGCATTTGGAAGCTAAAATCGCTAATTTGGACAGTATTTGCAGCGTTTTGGACCTTGAATCTCTCGTTAGCAGCGTTTTTGTGGTATTTTGTGTTGAGGGTCATTTTAGGGTCTATTTACGGTTGGTTTAGGGTTCAGTTGGATTGGTTCACTGTTTATTCAAGGTTGGTTTTAGGGTCTATTTAGGGGTGCTTAGGGTTTGTTTGGATGTGGTTTAAGGTTAATTTAGGGTCTATTGAGGATTGATCTAGGGGTTGTTTAAGGATGATTTAGTGTTTATTCCTGCATCTTCCTAAGTGCCCAATTTTTTGTCTTTTCAGGGGGAAGTTTTTGGGGAAAAACAAAAAACATTTGCTGAAACAAAGTGCACTTTTATGTTTTCAACTGTGTTTCCACGATTTGGCCTTTCCAATAATTTTGCACACCGCAATGTTTTGCTTACAGCAAACCCAAAACCATTTGATTCTCAAGCAACAAGAGTTTGAAAAAGCCAACCGTTGTTCTTTGTATCATCTATTTTCTCAAACCCACGTTTCTTGGCGAAAAGGCTGCATTGCCAACCTATAGTTGAGAAAAATCTCTTGAGGAATAGTTGCAAGATCTTGATTCTGCCAAAGTCTAGTTCAATTTTCATTGAATGATGTGGGAAGGGCATGACTCTGGTCAGGAGTCAGCCAAGCTGCGCCTGAAGGAGTGTGAATGGTTTGATGGTTCTTCAGCCATCATAAAAGTTCGACTTTTGAAACAGCACTTTTGCCAGGCAAAACAGCGCTTTTACCCGACCAAAACGGTTTTTTTCCCGACCGCCCCTGATTGGAGAAGTTCATGCTTCCAAATAATGATGTCTACTGTCTACATTTTGTTTGCAAGTAGTTGGGCCATTGCCCCCCCAATCACAGTCCACCCATACACTTGATTCAATACTTTGGGTTTCTTTGTGTGTGGTTTCCAGAAAAAGTAAACTCAAATTATGCAACAACTGTGCAAGTGCAAAAACAGGCGATCCGGACTATGGAAGTGTGATATGTTGACGTCTTGAATATAATGATTTGATTTTGAGGATTGAGTCACGTCATGCTTGTCAACGAGCGTGACCGCTGTCGCTATCTTTGTTTCCTTTCCAACCAACACCCTGGAAGCCCTTCGAAGCTATCATGTCCGGCGTAGGGCATCAAAATTATACCAGCGTTGACCCGAAACAGGTGTAGAAAATCTCAATTATATTTTAGTTTGCGGCAAAGGATATCATTTCGGCATCCTTCCCTGCATTTATTGCCCGCCCTGCCCCATGCGCCCCAAGGAACCGAGAGTGGGACACAAGTGTGGGAGACAAGTGTGGGAGACAAGTGTGGGAGACAAGTGGGAGACAAGTGTAAACTCATGCGGCCCAAGGAACCCAGAGTGGGAGACAAGTGTGGGAAACAAGGGGGGGGGACAAGTGTGAGAGACAAGTGTGGGAGACAAGTGTGGAAGACAAGTGGGAGACAAGTGTAAACTCATGCGCCCCAAAACATCCAGAGTGGGAGACACGTGTGGGAGACGAGGGGGAGACAAGTGTAAAATCATGCGTCACAAGACACCCAGAGTGGGAGACAAGTGTGGGGGACAAGTGTGGGAGACAAGTGGGAGACAAGTGTAAACTCAAGGCACCCAGAGTGGGAGACAAGTGTGGAAGGCAAGTGTGGGAGACAAGTGGGAGACAAGTGTAAAATCATGCTCCAAGACACCCAGAGTGGGAGACAAGTGTGGGAGACAAGCGGAAAACAAGTGTAAACTCATGCGGCCCAAGGCACCCAAGTGTGACGGACAAGGGGGAGACAAGTGTAAAATCATGCAGCCCAAGGCACCCAGAGTGGGAGACCAGTGCGGGAGACAAGTGGGAGACAAGTGTAAACTCATGCGGCCCAAGGCACCCAGAGTGAGAGACAAGTGTGGGAGACAAGGGGGAGACAAGTATAAAACTCAAAAGTGGACAGCAGCAGAAACCATCAAACGCAATGCTGGAATTTTCCACCTGGGCCTGCTATCTGAGCACCATAGCTACGAGGAAATTGGAAATGTCAGCTCATGTGCTGGGACTGTTTCACACCAGCCCCCTGTGGATTCACAGGAGATGACTGACCTTTACGTTTCATATTGTACACTCTCTTTCGTTTGGCAGCTGATTCTCTGAGTTCTTGTGCTTCTGGAGTGTCGCCAACGACCATTGCCCTGTGCGCATGACGTGCTCTAGAACACCACTCCCTGACCATTTGGTCAAACCATCTGAGATCATTTCTTTGCCCGGCATCCATCTCACATAGTTTTCTGACCCTTCTTCCATCATGGCTTCTCGAAGAACTGCCGCATCGATCATGACCTTCCTGTCTGCCGTGACACCTTCTGAGTTCAATACATCATACCCAGTTTTTGCGTCTATCACCAGGTAGTGCTTCCATGTGCTAGAAAACCATTTCCATGAACTCAACCTGAATCTCCCAAGGGTCAGTTCGGCCATCACAGCTCTGATGAAGTCCCCATGTTCAAATGCCGTGGCTGCCATGCTCAACTCTGCACTCATGCTACACCGAACAACTCGGTTGATGCGAACACTAGAGGCTTCTAGAAGGGCTACAGGAGCTGTTTTGGTCAATACATCAGGATGTGCTAGAAGACAAACCACCCCACCCTGACTGCCTGCACGTGGCTGCGCGGCATACGCAGGGTCACTGGCTGAAACCACGATGGCTTCCTCAAAACGACATCCTAAGTTCTTGACCTTGATCTCCACCTTCCCTCGAGCCTTCACCAAAAGCTTCTGGACATACTTGATGGCATCTGGTTCACCCAGTCCCATGAGTTGTTGGCAATGAGAAACGCCATACAGAAGTTCATGTCTACCCTGACGTGCTGCCCAACTGATCTGCCCCAACAAAGAACTGAGTTCTGTTCGCACCTCATCCGACAACTTCTCGCCCGTAAACTTCAAAGCCTTCTCTGAGAGGTCCGGAATCTTCGCAATGTATTCATCCATACAATAGCTAAACTCAAAAGAAGATGGACATTGTTTCTCCCACCTACCACAAAACTTTGTCCACCCCTCTGTAGACTTTCTCAAGGCTCCAAACTTCAAGCGCGCGTGCAGCTCATCCCAAAGCTCCTGAGCAGTGGCATCCCCCGTGTAGCGTGTGTCATCTACATGAATTGTGACCAGCGCTCGGAGGGAACCATCTGGATGAAATGCCCGGAACATTCCAGGAACAAGCTTCAACTCATGAAGGCCTATGATCTTCAGGGTGTTGCGATACTCCAAATACCACAATCTAGGGGACTCCGCCAATCCAAAACCTCCTTTCAAAAGACGCAAGAGATCATCTCGATGTCCTGCACCTACCATTTCCAGGATGAATTCATTCACATAGGATGGATAGCCCCCTGGGAGTTTGACATACACCTCTCTTTCAGTTGGCAACGGCTTGCCTTGAAGAAAAGCCGACGAAACATCTTCGTAGTACACTGCCCAACCGTTCAGAGTGGCAATCAGGTTGAGCAGGTTGTGGCTCAACAAGGTGGCTGTAGGAGCCAATGTTGGATACTTTCCTACTTCCGCATCTCTATGACCTCCAAGAACCCATCTCGCCTTCAAAATTGCCTTGGTCCACTCCTCTTCACCCTTGTTCGTCAAAACAAATCTTGACGATAGAATCTTCTTCGGGTCAATCACGCAATCCTTCTTGACACCCTGCATGGCCTTGAAGTCAAAGTAGATGCTCACCGCCTTGAGCAAGGGATCACGAAAGGCATCTTTCCAGGGTTCTGGCAGCTTGGACCACTGATACTCCAAACGTTGTTTGCCAGTGACCAATTCTGCACCCAAAACTGCCTTCCACTGTTCTTCTGCTCGCTCTTCTACCTTTTTCAAGATGTGATCAATGTGCGCCTGATTGTTCTCCTCACACGCAAGAACCGCATCAGCTCATGCCTTTCGCCACCATTCAAGCTTTCACTTTCCAGCCCACTGGCTTCTTCCATCCAAAAGGCTCCGTGCCCAACACTTGATGTTGCGCCCTTTGATGCCTCCTGCCTCAGCTTCTGCTTGACTGCCCTCTTTTGCTGCTTGTTGGCCTCACTCAACCTTTTCATCGAACTCTCCATCTGACCTCGTAGTTGAGCTTCTGCCATTGCACTAGGGGGGCCAAGCCTGGACCATCCCATGTCCAGTTCTCATTTCTGAAAAAACGCGACCTACTATCGTAGTCATTGTACCATCCCCATCCATAGCTATTTCTATGCCAGGGGCTACTCCATGACTCAGAACGATCCCAACCGTTCCACTGACTTCCATTGGATTCCCAAGACACTTGACTACCTACTTCTTCCTCACTGCCGGCTGGTGCCGTTTCAAACACCTCATAGTAGGAGCGCGCCATCCGGCGCTCAGAATCTACAGGCCCCACACCACTCCAGGCTCAAGCTCGCACTGTGCCTCCAGCCAGCTCAGCCACTGTCCTCTTTCTCACCACCCCACCGACCTGGATCGAAGATGGCCAGGATGCAACCCAGCCACACCGGGCTCCGCTGCCACTCAAAAGTGGACAGCAGCAAAAACCATCAAACGCAATGCTGGAATTTTCCACCTGGGCCTGCTATCTGAGCACCGTAGCTACGAGGAAATTGGAAATGTCAGCTCATGCGCTGGGACTGTTTCACAATAAACTCATGCGGCACAAGGCACCCAAGTGTGAGGGACAAGTGGGAGACAAGTGTAAACTCATGCGTCCCAAGGCACCCAGAGTGGGAGACAAGTGTTGGAGACAGGTGTAAACTCATGCGGCCCAACGAACCCAGAGTGGGAGACAAGTGTGGGAAACAAGTGTGGGAGACAAGTGTGGGAGACAAGTGTGGGCGACAAGTGTGGAAGACAAGTGGGAGACAAGTGTAAACTCATGCGCCCCAAAACATCCAGAGTGGGAGACACGTGTGGGAGACGAGTGGGACACAAGTGTAAAATCATGCGGCCCACGACACCCAGAGTGGGAGACAAGTGTGGGAAACAAGTGTTAACTCATGCGGCCCAAGGCACCCACAGTGAGACAAGTGTGGGAGCGAAGTGGGAGACAAGTGTAAACTCATGCGGCCCAAGACACCCAGAGTGGGAGACAAGTGTGGGAGACGAGTGGGAGACAAGTGTAAAATCATGCGGCCCAAGGCACGCAGAGTGGGAGACAAGGGGGAGACAAGTGTAAACTGATGCGGCCCAAGGCACCCAGAGTGGGAGGAGACAAGTGTAAACTCATGCGGCCCAAGGCACCCAGAGTGGGAGACAAGGGGGAGACAAGTGTAAACTCATGCGGCCCAAGGCACCCAGAGTGGGAGGCAAGGGGGAGACAAGTGTAAACTCATGCGGCCCAAGGCACCCAGAGTGGGAAACAGGGGGGAAACAAGTGTAAACTCATGCGGCCCAAGGCACCCAGAGTGGGAGACAAGGGGGAGACAAGCGTAAACTCATGCGGCCCAAGGCACCCAGAGTGGGAGACAAGGGGGAGACAAGTGTAAACTCATGCGGCCCAAGGCGCCCAGAGTGGGAGACAAGGGGGAGGCAAGTGTAAACTCATGCGGCCCAAGGCACCCAGAGTGGGAGACAAGGGGGAGACAAGTGTAAACTCATGCGGCCCAAGGCACCCAGAGTGGGAGACAAGGGGGAGACAAGTGTAAACTCATGCGGCACAAGGCGCCCAGAGTGGGAGACAAGGGGGAGACAAGCGTAAACTCATGCGGCCCAAGGCACCCAGAGTGGGAGACAAGGGGGAGACAAGTGTAAACTCATGCGGCCCAAGGCGCCCAGAGTGGGAGACAAGGGGGAGACAAGTGTAAACTCATGCGGCCCAAGGCACCCAGAGTGGGAGACAAGGGGGAGACAAGTGTAAACTCATGCGGCCCAAGGCGCCCAGAGTGGGAGACAAGGGGGAGACAAGTGTAAACTCATGCGGCCCAAGGCACCCAGAGTGGGAGACAAGGGGGAGACAAGTGTAAAGGCACCCAGAGTGGGAGACAAGGGGCAGGCAAGTGTAAGCTCATGCGGCCCAAGGCACCCAGAGTGGGAGAGTGAGACAAGTGTAAACTCATGCGGCCCAAGGCACCCAGAGTGGGAGACAAGGGGGAGACAAGTGTAAACTCATGCGGCCCAAGGCACCCAGAGTGGGAGACAAGGGGGAGACAAGTGTAAACTCATTCGGCCCAAGGCACCCAGAGTGGGATGCAAGCCCGGAGACAGAGGCAAAATCATTCGGCCCAGGGATGCATCCCTTTGAAAGGAGTAAGAACCCCATACAGGTAAACCTGTTTGGGGAAAAAACATGTTTATTGGCAAGGACGCTTTTCTTCCAATAAGACACACATGTTTGCTTTTTTAACTTAGGGCCTAGATTCAGGGGTTGTTTAGGGTTTAGGGTCGGGTCTATTTAGGGGTGGTTTAGGATTTACTCACGGGTTGGTGTAAGGTTTGGTTTAGGGTTTAATTAGGGTTTGCTTGGAGTTTCTGTAGGTTTGATTGATTCAGGGTGTTGAAGAGATGTTTTTGCTTTAGGGTTTTACAGTTTTCTACAGCCTCTTACTTTGCACAATGCTTCCAGCATATTGCATGTTGGATCTCTGATCGGAACAGTATTTGCAGCATTCTGGTGCTGACTTATCTTACTCGTATTTGCAGCACTTTGGGGTAGCATTCCTGCTCTTGTTTTTGCTGCTCATACTGGATCAACTGGATCTCTTTTTACTCGTTGTCTGCACAATAGTTGCAGCATACTGCCAAGAAACCACACAAGCAACAAAAATCTATACGCCCAAAAACAATTACTTTCTTCGAGTGATCCCCACCAAGTGACATTCTATCTGACATACATCCCAACATTTTATCTGGAATCCTTTCTGGCATTCTATCTGACATATTTTCTGCATTCTATTTGGAATGCCATCTGGCATTCTATCTGAAAATTCATCTGGTATTCTACTTGACATTCTATCTTACAGATATTCTGACATTCCATCTGGCATTCTTTCTGACGTTTGGCATCCATTCTGGCATTCTTTCTGGCATGTGTTCGGGTCCATGCGTGCCCAGCTGCATCTGGAGCTCACGGAGGAGAAGAGGAGGAGGAGTTGCACCTTTGTTAAAATCCAGACCCTCACCTGGCAGGTGGGGAATAAGCCCAAAAAGCCAAGGAGCTAAGAAGCCGAGAAAACAAAAATCTCAAAAGCCACACAAGCCACAAAGGCCAAGAAGCCAGACTGGAAAAAACTCCTCATAAGAATGCGGACTTGTATATGTCCCAAATGCTGTACGTTTGGCGCACGAAGACATTAGCAAAATCCAGGCCTAGCCATAACAACTGCGCATATCTGCAGTTCTTCGGCACCA